ATATATATATATATATATATATATATATATATATGTATGTATATATATATATGATTTTTGTTAAAATATGTAATTGATTTAAACAAAACAAGATACGATTAAAATATTGGAATGTAATTGTCGATTTTAGCGCGATGCTTTTGTGCAACGCATTCAGCTATCCAAACAATGTTACGACATTCTTGCTCTTTTAGTTTTAAATAACTGTAGAATACTCCAAAATGGAATTGTTGAAGGAATGCATGAACATTTAAACGAACCTATAATATACAATATTAATAGAGAAGATTAATGAAACTAAATAATAACAAAAGCATTAGATTTGTGTTTTAGACCAATTACCAATTAACTTACTTCGTGTTCAAAGAATTTATCTTCCAAAGTTTTGTCGCCAGGATTATTACCTGCTCCTTCAAATAAGGCGCTATACTCCTGTACAATTAATATAAAATATTAATATTACGTTATGCATATTAGAAATATTGAATAACATAAATATGCAACTATGTCGTAACAATATAATGCAAAAAATTCTTTTAACTTACTGCATAATACTCAGCCACAGCTTTAACTTGTTCATAATCATCAGCTCTTGCTAATGCAGCCAATCCATCTGGATTCAAACGTCCACAGCGTGGATATAATTTAGCACGATCATCTTTACCCAATTCAGTTCCAAATGAATTAATGGTTATAATGATAGCTCTTCTATCAGCTTCAAACTATAATTATGATTAATATTTTATATTATTAATATTACTTTATATATTATGTAATAATGATTTTACAAATAATAATATAAATTTCTTACAGCAAGTATTTCACACATAGTATCGGCAGTCGTACCACCAATATCTTTGCAGAATTTATAAAAAGCTTCTAGATAAGCTTTGTAAAGCGTGTTTCGAATAATTTCAATATTCATTTCATCTAAATCTTGTTCGGATATACAATCCACGAAGAATGGTGCTGTAAATGATAAAATTGTTGTAAAGTTGTCCTATTATAAAAATTGTAATATTATTAATTAGAATTATTACCCAACGGTGTGTCTACTAGAACAGCATTGTATAATTCAGCTGGCGTAGCAGCCACATGGATAGCTTCCATTTGTTCAAAACTACCAAGTGGGTGACACTTTGGAATTAATTCAGAGATAGGCCTTTGATGTAAAGTACCAGTAATTAACAATATAATATTGTCGATCATATAACTGTAGGTGATAAAATCAAGAAACTGTGCCAGTGGTTCAACAGAATGATTACGCATGTGTTGAAACTCTACGACTAATTTTTCTCTTAACTTATCATCTATGACACTAACAGAAAGTGGTGACGGTTCGTTTGCTAGAAAGCTTCCATAATCTGTACCAGCCAGATGTAACTTTAAATCTGTAAATATTCAAAGAAAAATAATAATATTAAATATTTTATCATTTGATATTAATGAAGTATAGGAAAATTAACGACTGATAAGTATAACAAAAGTTAATTTATTTTTCTATTTTAATTGTACAGTTAGTTCTCCTTAATTAATTATCACAAAAATATAATTGCTTTACCTTCGAGAGTCTCGCATTGAACTAAATTGAGATAATCGCTTTGTTGAAGTATTCCACATTTGAAACCACGGCAAAGCCCTTCCAAATATCCACCATCTATATTAAACATACAACCCTTCATGTTGACAATTTATTTGGAATTTTTTTTTCAATAAAAAATTATGTCTGTCACTTTAAGTCTAGGATTTGTCAAGATTAAAACTTGAACGCCCAAACTCGCCCTTCTTGCTTGCCGATCATATGACTGGATGTCAGGGGAGCCAAACTTAAATATGAAAGTAAAAGTTTTGCTTGTTGTGTCGTCATTGCCGATAGATGTGCTGACACCTAGTATATTGCCATCTACCAACGAAGTTTCAGATAAGATAGAAATTACAATTTAAAATCATATAAGTCTTTATATGAATTATAGTTATTTTTATGTATAATACTATACTTTTCTTTTTAATCCGTATGAGAAATATATATATATACATATTTTTATTTATATACTATATATTATATTAGAAAAAGAATGTAATAGGGTCATCAAAGGATTATTATACATATAAGTTAATAATAATTACTATAAAAAATATATGT